AGGCGCGGCGGGAGCATGGCCGAGTCGCTGCGGGAGGAGCCGCCGGGCGGGCCGGAGTCGGAGGCCGAGCTGTCGCAGCGGCTGGCTCACACCAAGGCCCGCTCGTACGGCAGCACGGCGAGCGTGGCGGCGCCACTGGCCGAGCGCTATGTGGAGCACCGGCTCAGCGCCGGGGACACGCTGCAGGGCATCGCCCTCAAGTACGGCGTCACGGTAAGGGGCGGCCTGCCGGCCCGGGGAGCCAGGAGGGCCCGGGGGCTGCAGAGCCGGTAGCGGCGATGGGCTCCCGGCACGGCGGCGGGCGGTTGGTAGGCCCAGAAAGTAACAGAGGTGATGGGGAAGAGGCGCTGGAAATGGAAAACAGCCGAGAGATTGCAGGGTGGAGTTGTCCTGGAGAGTATTTCCTACCCATAGTGCGCAGGAGGTTCGCTTCTCACCGTGCATACGGTGCTGGTTTGAGTTTTGGTGTTTAAAATGCTGACATCTGAATCCTGTGACCTGCTTGGAGGGGTCAGTGCTCAGTTCTGGTGGGCAACGGCTGAAGTTCATGCTGTCCGAGACAGGGCACGGGCTTGAAACTGGTAAATGCTATTTGTCAGGACTGGCCGGTGGCCTCCAAGATGCACTTACTGCCACCAAGTAAACCTAGGCTTACATGACAGTTCACCACTACACTCACTTCAGTTTAAAAAAAACAACACAGTGTAATTAAACTTATCTTGAAAAGACTCATTATTTTGAGGTTGACACATAGGCTGTGACAAGAATTTCTTTCAGTAGCTTCAGGGCTAAAAATTCTTCCGCTGTTATCCACCTACCAGCCTAGAGGTGATTTACAACCGATTTGAAAGCGTTGCTGCTTTCCCGCTCTCTTCCTAGAGAGAAAAAAGTTTACTTCTGTGGAAATTGTTGAAAGGTGTATGCCAGCCCAGGACATGCAGAGACGAATAGTGTCTACCAGCAGGCCCTAACGCATTACCATTCCCTACAGAGCAGAGCTCACCTGCCCTATCTTCATTCCAGGTTATTTGGGGCCCAGTGAGCTGCCAACTGACATATCTATATGCAGCTTCAGTTGTCCCAACAGGCAAAATTGCCTGGGACCAAGTAGCTGATGAGTGTAGCTATCAGTATGGTACTGGTACCAATGTCATTTGCACATCAGCTGCAAAGAGCACCTTCCAGCTGGGCTCCATCCAGAAGAGGTACAACGCAGTCCCAAATTAATAGGTTCTGGCTGGGATGTGTTTCCTTTCCTTCTCTGGTTCTGAAAGACTTACTAAACCTCTCCAGCAACTTCAAAGCACTCAGCCTTTGTTGTGAAGAGGGTTGATTAAGCCACTTCTGACCAAATCTTTTTGGCAACAGGATTAACGGTGTTTTTGATTTACATTGATACACATTAAAACAAAGGTTTTCTCACTATGGGGGCAAAGCAAAGTGACCTGAGCTGCTCATTGGATTTGTTTGAATTTTTATTTTTGGCAGTGCTTTCCACAATGGATAAAGTCTCTGGCCTAAATGATTTAGCTATATTGTTCTTCAATCAGAAGCGTATTTACTCACTACAATAAGTGCGAAATACGCACAAATTACTTAAGTAGTAGTTTTCTAGAAAGAAAGGCATTTCTAAAGACATTACAACTCCCTTTCAGGTAAAGTGAAGTTAGGGATCAAATCTGAACAGTCTGAAAAAACAGGTTTAATTTATGAACTGTACACTTTTTTCACAGTATGAGCTTTCTAAGCTTTTGCTGTGTTAATGATGCATCTAAAGTATAAATGCTGGATTTTTTTAAACATCTCATGTTTTGTTTGATTTAATGTTGCTAGTACTCTGCTTAAGAAACCAGAGCTGCATCATTATAGACTTCATTGAGAAAGGTTAAACTGACATGAAATGTCCCTAAGAGCCATGCCAAGTTAGCTGAAATCAGCCATTGTGTTTCTGCTTTAATGAGTTTCAGCCCAGGGTAGGAATGTATGCAAACATGTTTGCTTTTAGCAAAATGAAGAATCTTGTGTGTTCACACAATGACAAGGGCTGACTCTCTCTAAAGAGTAATTGCATTTGCTTCCTGCCTCCTGTATACTTGGCTAGAAGTAAGACTTGCTGTAATGAGAACATCAGAGTTATCTTTGGCTGCCATTGCTTTCAGTATTACTGTTTTTAGAAGTGCCAGTGGTTTTCCTCACTGGGAGTTAATTTGCAGCAAGAGACATCCTGTCCAGTGCCTGCCTTGCCATGACGCGACATAGCAATTTAAGATGGGTGAAAATGTTAGGCGAGAGAGAGATCAGTGTGCTTTATTTGGCCTCATCCTCTGCCCATCACCCCTCTCCCCCAGACATTGTCTATTAATCTTGTTGTGGCTTATGTTCATTAGATCTTCCTTTGAATGCTGTTGGGTAAATTAACACTGGAAATGGTTGAATGTTTAGTATCATAGTCATGGTTCCGCTGGAGCACTGTTTTCCATCATACAAAGGTATCCCTTTTGAGGGGTGAAGGAAGAGTTTCATGGTTTCATTTGTTTCATGGTCAGTAGGAACAGTTTTGATGGATTAGTTCGGCACCAGTTATGCCTTAGTGCAGCTTCAGTTAAAGTATTAAGAGCAAAGGCTTTAGCACATGCTTTCACCATTATAGGTCTGTAGCTAACAGAAATTAGTTCAGTTTTCCTAGCACTAAGAAAACTAGGTTTAAATCCTGCTCTCCATACATCTATGAATGTATGGAGTCATACTGAGTTGTAGAAGGAGCAGTATATATTACACATGTTAAGTAACTTGCCCAAGGCTGAGGGATATTCTTTTTAGAACCAAGTATTTCCCATTTCATTGTTACACACTGCAGAGATGCAGTCTTCCAAAGGCCACAAAGTGGTATTTAAAAGGTATTTTAGGAAGAAGTAACCGGAGGTAGAGTTACAGTGAAGTGGGACAGCAGTACAGTGCATTATTTATCAGCTCTTGAAGTATTACCTTCCAGCTCACCTGTAGCAGAGATCTCAATTTTCAACTTTTGTATTGTATTTTTACAGAAAAGCTCCAGCTGGTTTATGCTTATTGCAGTCACCAGGAGACTAGAATGGTCATTTTTCTTTCTTTCACTTAAGACTTTTCCTAATGAAATAATGAGTTTAGGTTATAACTAAAGCTTCAAGTCACATAATGGGGAATACCAGTTTCTGTGCTTTTTTAAACCTTTCAGTTGAGAAATAGGAAGCTAGTATAACTGTTATTGTCTTGGAAGGGAAATGTTGATGACTAAGAACTTAAACAACAATCTTAGTATGAAGATAGTATAAACATTTACTGGGAACTTTTCCTTGCCTGTAAAACAATGGAATTTATAATCGTTTCTCGGGTTAAGGAAGGAACAAGTGGGACTTCATGCATTAGTACAGGGAGAAAGATGGAGTTGTCTTCTTGTTTGTCATAAGATCGTCTGTACTGATGAGTAGGTTGTAAGAAGTACTTCGGATAAAAGTTGCCTAAAAAGTATTTAAGAGTTATGTGGTGGCTGTTACCATGCATTATTACATACATGAGGTTGCTGTTGATCGTGCTGTACATTCAGCTTACTGGACAAATGCAGCCACTTTTCTGTGCAGCTTTATTACAAAGTGTTTAGGAGTCCCCCGTTCTTTTCACCATCTGACTTCTCACTGAAAGTCAGGACTTCATCTGAAATCTGAATTTGTTACATCAGCTAAGGGGGAAAATACTATGGATGAGACACATACTGCTTTTCCAAGACTTGTGATAGTCAGTGTTCATAACTAGTTTGTCCTGAATGCTCAACTTTATCGCCCCTTGTTTGTATTATGCATGCCTTCTACCAGAGTTCACCTACAGCTGCTAGCAATTCTGAGCCTTACTCTAATAAAAATTCAAATCAGCAGTGCTTTTGCAATACATTTTTATTCTGTGGCAAGTTGTTCATGTAAGTCTATCTAGAGATTGGAAGACTGTTCAAGAAAAGCATCTTTACATAGTGCAAGACTTTAGAAAGACCAGTATTTGGAGTTAAGTCTACATAGAAGGAAGAAATTAGGGTGTTGAGTTAGCAAGGCTAAGACACAGCGTACACTCTGGAATCATTTTGAGTGCAAAAAAAACCCCTTTCCTAAAGTCATTGCTGCTGCAGAGAAAGTATGGATTTATTGTAACTAGAGATTACTGTACTACTTCAGAAAGTTAGTACTTTATACTTTGCCAAAACCTAATAACTTACGTTTTTCCTATCTTTTTCAGATGGAACAAATAAAGAGGGCAAATAAACTGTTTACTAATGACTGTATATTTCTGAGGAAAACCCTGAATATTCCTGTTATATCAGAGAAACCATTACTGTTCAATGGACTTAATTCACTGGAGTCTCCTGAGAATGAAACTGTTGACAGCTCCCCTTCTTGTGATGAAGGACTAGTGACAGTTCAGGAAGAAAGTAGTTCTTCTCCCAGTCCTCAAGAGCCTGACAATCAGCCCACTGCACCAGAAGAACTGTCTGCCAAAGATTTCCTACAGAGGTTGGACTTGCAGATTAAGTTATCCAAACAAGCAGCCAGAAAACTAAAAGATGACAATGTCAGGTAAATGCCGCTTTTAGTATAAGTGTCTTAATATCATCCTGAAGGTTTTTTAGTCAAAGCTGAACCCTCTTTGTGAGGTATCTCAAACAGCATCTGTAGTTTTAATTTGTCAACAGTGAGTCTATGCCATTATCACGCACCAGATTCATTCAGAGCACACCATTAGCCGATGCCTTGATATGGCAGTTATAAAGGCTGCCTCACGATACATTGTAGGATAGCATTAATATTCCATAAGAGCTAGAAGGCATATATTCTCCAAGATGTCTTGCTATGTAAGTGGGCAACTATTTAAGCAAACACATAGTTTTCAGTGGAGTACTAAGCCAAGGCCTGTGGAAGCTGATTGCATACAGCGAGGCATGGTTGCATTTTTCATCTGTCCCTAGTTGCCTCGTAACTGTGTAAATATTCTTTGTTTAGTTTCAGTTAAGCTATCCTATCTCTTTTCCCTATGGAGTCCCTTGTGGATCTACCTATGTAGACTTCTGTCTTTTCTTCAGTATTTCTTCTACAGCCAGGAGCTTGCACACACTTTACTCATAGAAAAAGCAGTACCTTTTGACCTCTCTACCCCAGTGATTATCCCCTCACATGCCTAGGCATCCCATGGAGAGTACAGAAAGACCTAGAGCAAGAGTGGACTTCAGTAATGTTTGTTTTCTCATGTCCTTGGGACAAGCTTCCTCAGCTTGTTCACAAGCAATCTCTTGAGCTGGTTGTCCAGCCTGTTTATTCTCTGCAGAGATTGCCTCAGTGGGTGTTGCCGAGGTGGCCTTTCTCATGACAGTAAAAGCTATGACTGCAGGGGACTTACCACAGAGCTGGAGAGAGGTTATGCCTGCAGTTATGTACTTTGCTTTCTCAAATTTGTTTAATGCAAAACATCTTCCATCATCCTGGTTCACTTCACATATTCTGATTTGGGGCACAAGCAACATACTTCATGCTAAGAGGAAAGTAACCTTTCAGGACCAAATCTATCAGGCATGTAGTCCTATCATTTCTTTAAGAAGTTACAGGATTATTTCAGCAACTTAAAAACTTCATTCAATAGATAAAAAATTTGAGGGTTTAAGATGGGTGAAAATGTTAGGCGAGAGAGAGATCAGTGTGCTTTATTTGGCCTCATCCTCTGCCCATCACCCCTCTCCCCCAGACATTGTCTATTAATCTTGTTGTGGCTTATGTTCATTAGATCTTCCTTTGAATGCTGTTGGGTAAATTAACACTGGAAATGGTTGAATGTTTAGTATCATAGTCATGGTTCCGCTGGAGCACTGTTTTCCATCATACAAAGGTATCCCTTTTGAGGGGTGAAGGAAGAGTTTCATGGTTTCATTTGTTTCATGGTCAGTAGGAACAGTTTTGATGGATTAGTTCGGCACCAGTTATGCCTTAGTGCAGCTTCAGTTAAAGTATTAAGAGCAAAGGCTTTAGCACATGCTTTCACCATTATAGGTCTGTAGCTAACAGAAATTAGTTCAGTTTTCCTAGCACTAAGAAAACTAGGTTTAAATCCTGCTCTCCATACATCTATGAATGTATGGAGTCATACTGAGTTGTAGAAGGAGCAGTATATATTACACATGTTAAGTAACTTGCCCAAGGCTGAGGGATATTCTTTTTAGAACCAAGTATTTCCCATTTCATTGTTACACACTGCAGAGATGCAGTCTTCCAAAGGCATTTTAGGAAGAAGTAACCGGAGGTAGAGTTACAGTGAAGTGGGACAGCAGTACAGTGCATTATTTATCAGCTCTTGAAGTATTACCTTCCAGCTCACCTGTAGCAGAGATCTCAATTTTCAACTTTTGTATTGTATTTTTACAGAAAAGCTCCAGCTGGTTTATGCTTATTGCAGTCACCAGGAGACTAGAATGGTCATTTTTCTTTCTTTCACTTAAGACTTTTCCTAATGAAATAATGAGTTTAGGTTATAACTAAAGCTTCAAGTCACATAATGGGGAATACCAGTTTCTGTGCTTTTTTAAACCTTTCAGTTGAGAAATAGGAAGCTAGTATAACTGTTATTGTCTTGGAAGGGAAATGTTGATGACTAAGAACTTAAACAACAATCTTAGTATGAAGATAGTATAAACATTTACTGGGAACTTTTCCTTGCCTGTAAAACAATGGAATTTATAATCGTTTCTCGGGTTAAGGAAGGAACAAGTGGGACTTCATGCATTAGTACAGGGAGAAAGATGGAGTTGTCTTCTTGTTTGTCATAAGATCGTCTGTACTGATGAGTAGGTTGTAAGAAGTACTTCGGATAAAAGTTGCCTAAAAAGTATTTAAGAGTTATGTGGTGGCTGTTACCATGCATTATTACATACATGAGGTTGCTGTTGATCGTGCTGTACATTCAGTTTACTGGACAAATGCAGCCACTTTTCTGTGCAGCTTTATTACAAAGTGTTTAGGAGTCCCCCGTTCTTTTCACCATCTGACTTCTCACTGAAAGTCAGGACTTCATCTGAAATCTGAATTTGTTACATCAGCTAAGGGGGAAAATACTATGGATGAGACACATACTGCTTTTCCAAGACTTGTGATAGTCAGTGTTCATAACTAGTTTGTCCTGAATGCTCAACTTTATCGCCCCTTGTTTGTATTATGCATGCCTTCTACCAGAGTTCACCTACAGCTGCTAGCAATTCTGAGCCTTACTCTAATAAAAATTCAAATCAGCAGTGCTTTTGCAATACATTTTTATTCTGTGGCAAGTTGTTCATGTAAGTCTATCTAGAGATTGGAAGACTGTTCAAGAAAAGCATCTTTACATAGTGCAAGACTTTAGAAAGACCAGTATTTGGAGTTAAGTCTACATAGAAGGAAGAAATTAGGGTGTTGAGTTAGCAAGGCTAAGACACAGCGTACACTCTGGAATCATTTTGAGTGCAAAAAAAACCCCTTTCCTAAAGTCATTGCTGCTGCAGAGAAAGTATAGATTTATTGTAACTAGAGATTACTGTACTACTTCAGAAAGTTAGTACTTTATACTTTGCCAAAACCTAATAACTTACGTTTTTCCTATCTTTTTCAGATGGAACAAATAAAGAGGGCAAATAAACTGTTTACTAATGACTGTATATTTCTGAGGAAAACCCTGAATATTCCTGTTATATCAGAGAAACCATTACTGTTCAATGGACTTAATTCACTGGAGTCTCCTGAGAATGAAACTGTTGACAGCTCCCCTTCTTGTGATGAAGGACTAGTGACAGTTCAGGAAGAAAGTAGTTCTTCTCCCAGTCCTCAAGAGCCTGACAATCAGCCCACTGCACCAGAAGAACTGTCTGCCAAAGATTTCCTACAGAGGTTGGACTTGCAGATTAAGTTATCCAAACAAGCAGCCAGAAAACTAAAAGATGACAATGTCAGGTAAATGCCGCTTTTAGTATAAGTGTCTTAATATCATCCTGAAGGTTTTTTAGTCAAAGCTGAACCCTCTTTGTGAGGTATCTCAAACAGCATCTGTAGTTTTAATTTGTCAACAGTGAGTCTATGCCATTATCACGCACCAGATTCATTCAGAGCACACCATTAGCCGATGCCTTGATATGGCAGTTATAAAGGCTGCCTCACGATACATTGTAGGATAGCATTAATATTCCATAAGAGCTAGAAGGCATATATTCTCCAAGATGTCTTGCTATGTAAGTGGGCAACTATTTAAGCAAACACATAGTTTTCAGTGGAGTACTAAGCCAAGGCCTGTGGAAGCTGATTGCATACAGCGAGGCATGGTTGCATTTTTCATCTGTCCCTAGTTGCCTCGTAACTGTGTAAATATTCTTTGTTTAGTTTCAGTTAAGCTATCCTATCTCTTTTCCCTATGGAGTCCCTTGTGGATCTACCTATGTAGACTTCTGTCTTTTCTTCAGTATTTCTTCTACAGCCAGGAGCTTGCACACACTTTACTCATAGAAAAAGCAGTACCTTTTGACCTCTCTACCCCAGTGATTATCCCCTCACATGCCTAGGCATCCCATGGAGAGTACAGAAAGACCTAGAGCAAGAGTGGACTTCAGTAATGTTTGTTTTCTCATGTCCTTGGGACAAGCTTCCTCAGCTTGTTCACAAGCAATCTCTTGAGCTGGTTGTCCAGCCTGTTTATTCTCTGCAGAGATTGCCTCAGTGGGTGTTGCCGAGGTGGCCTTTCTCATGACAGTAAAAGCTATGACTGCAGGGGACTTACCACAGAGCTGGAGAGAGGTTATGCCTGCAGTTATGTACTTTGCTTTCTCAAATTTGTTTAATGCAAAACATCTTCCATCATCCTGGTTCACTTCACATATTCTGATTTGGGGCACAAGCAACATACTTCATGCTAAGAGGAAAGTAACCTTTCAGGACCAAATCTATCAGGCATGTAGTCCTATCATTTCTTTAAGAAGTTACAGGATTATTTCAGCAACTTAAAAACTTCATTCAATAGATAAAAAATTTGAGGGGAAGCAGTATATCACATTTAGCAATTGGACAAGCCTCATTTGGAGAAGTATCCCGCAAGACAGCTTAAGGTAATGAATTACCTATTGCATTCCACATACAACTCTCCATTCCCAGAAGGACACTGGTTTAGTTACAGTCTCAGGGAAGGCTGGAATGCTTTCACGTCTTGTTAACACACTTGGAAATTTTCTTTTGCACTGATTACATGAAAGAGGAAAAACAGCTGTTGGAACTCAGATCCTTCTGTATTCAAACTCTTCCTTTTTGCATTGTTATATCTGAAACAATGTAGAGCATCTATCAAAATGTGCCGCTGCTGACTCTCAGATCATTAGACATATGTATCTAACACAGGATAGGGTAGGTGTTGACCTAGCAGTTAAGCTGGGTCACGGAAACCACAGTCCCTGCCAGAGGAAGGCAATTATTTTAACATCCCCTCAACAAAATAACATACTAATTTACAGAAGGAAATTCACTTAGACCTTGCTCCACCATGAGCAGAGCCAATACACAAATAGTCACTGCTACTACTTATATCAATTTCCTATATTGCTTAAGTTACAACTTGGGAAATGAGGGCTTGTTACTGAATTTCCTCCCAGGGAATAATGGCTACAGGAGGATGAGTTACTTTCCCACCTCCTGTCAGATTTAGCAGATAATTTTGTTAATTATGCATAGAGCACAGATTTTTATTGGTCACGATGCTACAGGAAGCATGAAGTACAGAGCTGCAGGTTATCTGCTGAGCAGGATGTTATCCAACTGAAGAGAAAAGCTTCCAGTGTGTCTGATAAAGTCTTCATAATGTTACCTTCCACCCCACCACCTCTGGCTTTCAGTCTTGACTCACAAAAGCCATCCCTGCCTGATCTTCTACTGTGTTCACCCCTTTATAGTCTCACAGGAAGTGCCAAAGGACCAACGTGAACTTTTACAGAGAGTTTGCAGAATGTTTACTCCTGTGGAGAGCAGGAGTAGATGGGACCATCACCAAAAGCCCTGGAGATGCTTTTCAGCTCTGTACCATCAATGGTATTTCTGGGCCCATGCTGGAAGGTGGCAGCATTCCTTGCTCTGCTCCAGCAGCTCCCCAGGAGGTGCCTGTTCTCCCTTCCACCTCTGCCTTTCTTGTCCTTTGCTTGAAGCTGGAGACCTTGAAAATTGGGCAGCCATCATGATAGTCAATGAGTCTCATGAATACACAAGTTTTCAATTCTTAGAGTGAAAGCCATTTATGAAATTAAGAGTGCTGTTTCCAGCTACTCTGGCCTTCTGTAGTCAGATTGCCTCGTCAAGGCCTGTTCAGAATGTGACATGCACCAGCACGGCAGTGCCTGTTTGAGACTAAGAAAGGAGCACGTAGAGTTACGTCGGCTACCAAAAGGGACACTGGAACTAAGAAAACTGCAATCACAAGCAGACTATCAGTTCTGAAACTTGAAGAGCCATAACTTCTCACCATACCCATGAGCCTGATTTAACAGATGGAGAGAATCACGACATCTCTTAAACTGCTCTTTACTTTGGTCTCCCTTAAAGTTGCCAAGAATGCTTGCATATTCATGCACTGATTCTGATCAAGCTGTACAGGCAGTTTCATAGTCAGAAACTGCATTGTCCTACAAAGACAGGTGAAGGTGGATTACATTGTTTAATCAAAACTCTTGTAGTCACCACTTTAAGTGCTCTCAAAGAACTAAAGTATACTAATCTCTGAAGTCAGCTTCTTCCCAGCTAAAGCCCCTTGCTGTTAGGTAGAAAAATTGAGGAGCACATAGGTGCAGATTTAGACTAGATTCTAAACTCTAATAGCTATGCAGGTAGACGAGCATTAAAGATTATAGAATGGGACCTACTCAGTTTGAGTTGGCTTTCACTATTGGAGTTTATGTCAGCATATGGCTAGATCCACATGTAAGACTACTTTTACTAGAGAGTTTCATTGCGCAAGAAATCAGTGGTTAATGAATCCTCCAGTCAGCTGTATTTACCCAAGATTCAGCTCTAGGTGAGCAGCTTCAGCCAATAAGACCTGGTTTTGGTTTGAGCAATATTTTGTCATAGGCCAAAAGAAATGCAAAAGTATTAACATAATAGTTTGTAGCATATGTTGCTAACTCATGTATTTGTGTATTAGGGAAGAATACCCATTATTAGTTTTATCCACACATGAAAGAAAAGCAATTTGTAATAGTTTGAGAAAATACAGTAGTGCTTTGTCTTGCCTAAAATGCTGTTAGGCATGTTTCAGGATGCCAAAACTGAAATTATGTGTAGTGATGCTTTTTGTATCAGATAGTTGACCACCGGAGGTCTAATGCAAGGTCTTTAGAGAGTCCTTAATATTTTAGGGTGGTACTGCAGTAGGCTAGAACACTAGGGCCAGATACTGTGCTTCTGGGACAGGTCACATCTTTCTGCATTTGCCTTTTAGTGACTCATTTTGAAAACCTTCTAACTGAATAGAACCTTTCTAATCACTTGCTTGTATGAGCCAATGTAATTACTTGGTGTGCAGCACTAGAACAGAACCATATATTGTCATCTGATCAGTTGCCTTGACCTGAACCTAGGAAAGGGTAGGGCACTTGAAACTGATAACTGATTGAGTTCATTTGTTCAAGAATTGTTCACCATCATGGGCTATCAGCTAAGAAAGCAGATACCTCAATTAAGGAGGCTGCCTGTGGAGAATCCTGTGTTCAGACTTCCAAAAGCTATTAACTCACAAACTCAAGATTGCTGTCTTGTTGAACTGTGAATTCTAGAAGCATCCAAGCATTGGATTTGAGTTGACTTCACACTCAGGTGCACTTGGTCATTTTTATTGTGGCCTGATGCATACAGTAGCTTGCAGGAGATGGCTCTCAGGTTCTGTGGGCAAAGTGGCAGCAGTGAACAGGAAGAGACAGCTCTATGAAGCATTGTAATGCTGTGCTGTTCCTTTTCCTTTGCCTGAAGGAGAATGTTGCAGTGACTTACCACTTTGCTATTTTAAGCATCTTAAAAGTGAAGAAAATTGTTTGGTCGTTAAACATACACACACTGCCATGTTGTTGCTTGTCGGCCAGAGCTGCTACTATGTGATTTTATTTCATATAAAGCTTGGCTTGTTTTTAAGCCATCAGAACAGACTTGTACTTGCTATGTACAGCTCTAAAGATCTACATTAGTAATATTTCCTGGCCATTGCCTTGGTTTAGAGTAATGTGTTGTAGACCTCTTCCCATAGCCTAGTCCCGCAGCCTGGGACAGAAAGTCAGAAGCTGTTCTTGCCAGCCCTTACTGCCAAGTGCAGCATACCTAAGCCTTGCTCAAAAGTTTATTTTGCACATATTTATTATGCTTTCTTAGGTTCAAACATAATGACCTACTATGTGGTTCTTATGTCCCTGCTGCCTTCAGAAACCCCTCAAGACTGGTTGTGGCTCAAGTGCCAGTCTTCTGCCCTCTACTGGCTAATGCCAAGTAAAAGCCCCTAGTCCCAGAGTGTATTTCAGAGAGGAAGTAGAGACGCACAGCTTAGAGTAGCTCTTATGTTACTTTGTCTGAAGACCTGCTGATCGCTATTTCAGCTCTCCAGTTCTCCATATTCACCCCTACTATCCACCATAAGCAACTGCAGCTAATGTCAGTCCAGCGTTTGGCTGCGGCCACGTCATAATGGATGTTATTCCTATGTTAAGGCTTTCAAGAAAAAAGACTGAAAGGCCCATTCTGTCAGCCTCTGATTAGAAAGAAGGAATTTTGCTGGAACTCTGCCATATTTTATTCTCCTAAAAACGGAAACATAACAAAACTAAGAAGTAGAAGGTAATTTTCAGTGTACAGCTTAGAAAGTAAGCTTTTTCCCTGCTGGACAATCTAAGCTCTGAAAATACAGAAGTTTTCCTTCATCATCACAAACTATCAGAGACTGCTATTTGCAACTATGTTCTGAAAATATGTGACTAGAAACCCATTGTCTTGAGACAATTTATAGATCAAAAGTGCTAGTGCTTATTCAAGTAAACGTTAATTGTTTGCTTCCTTATTTTACTGCTATGCCAGGTATTATGAACAGCATATGCAAATTATTCCATGGCAGTTTTGCAACGCAGAATTGAGGATATAAGGAAAGATACTTACATATACAGAGATGATCTCTATCTTAAGAATCATGTTTGGTACTAGGTCTGTAGAATCACTAATGCAAATAGATGTAGTATTTGTGAGAAAGGCTAGAATCTGTTTTCAGCACTACTGTAACCACACATCCTTGCAATAACTACCAGTTTCATCCAAAACCCAGGATTTTTTGAGATTTCATTTTTTAAAAAAGATATTCAAGGCAAAAGCAATATCACGCCTTCATGAAGATAATTTTGCTGGACTAGCCAAGAACAGGGAAGGGCTGGGAAAACGAGTGCAAGTTATTCAGCTGCTTAGTTAGTTTGTAGAGTGTTTTCCTCTGATTCTGTTCTGGGGGGTATAATATGAAATATAACTTGTAGCTAAATAATCTTGTTTAGAATTAGTAGGGGAAAGTCTGCTTAATTGGTGTTTGGAATACTGTTGAAATACATAGTTTTTACCTTATACCATGATTAGACTATTTGAATAACTGTACCTTTATGTGGAGGTACACATTATTATTAAATTAAGTAAATTAAATTTAGTATTAAAAGTAACTGGAAATCCTTTGAAGCTGACAGTGTAGCAACTGTTAAGTCTATCTGTTCTCACCAAAACACTAAAATTGGCAGCAGCGTTAAGAATAGGCTCTCTGGAACATAATTTTGAAGCTACAGTAGTAGAAAAAACCGATCATTCGAGAACTTAACATGCTGGAATTAGTACTGGATGCTGCACTCAGTAAGTTTACATAACCACTTTTTTTAAAAAGGCAATATTGTCAAGTAAACAGTAGGCAGATTCCTGTTTCATGAGGATTTTTAATAGCAACGCTACTGTGGTTTATCCAGTCATTGCATTAGCAACAGCACTTGTGGGCAACTATTTTCTCCTAAGAAAATCCAAGTGCTCAGTCTCAGTATTGATTGCTGCACAGGAAGGATACATCAAGGAGCCCACTCAAAGAATGTCCTTGCAGCATCAAGACACAGATCCAGCTACAGTGATAATGGGCTGCTCCTGTTCTTGCCTTGTTTGGTCCATCTGCACCTCCTGCCATTCAAAAGGCTGAAACAAACCCACAACTAAACTTGCTTTTTTAAAAAAAGAAATTGAAAGCAACAGTACTGGAACTCCAGCATGCCCTCCACTTGTTTATCCTGTACAGTATTTCTTACTGATTTGGCACTGTTCATTAAACTCTAAATACATTCTGATGTTGTTGAACTTAACCAGCTGTACTTGTTTTCAGCATTCTGTTTGTGAAGCAACATTAAGATGATCTCCGGAGATGCGTAATGAACAGTAGCGTACTGAAGAAGTATTTCTGTTAACGATCCCAGTCTTAGCTATTTTCATCCATCCATTAGGAAAACTGGTTAATCTGCATCTGCATTTCACTTTTACTGTTGAGACATGGTATGTTCCTGATCTGATGATTATGATCATTTTCTTTTTAGAGAGGAGGAGAATGAGGAAGGTCCCTATGCAACTTCTTCGTATCACCAGTAGAAGACAGATGTGATGGCCTGAAAACTTTCCATGAAATCAGTTCTTAAAGAACTAAATGGTCAATAATTCAAAACCCAAGTCTTTCGGACTCATCGTCTTGATGTACTTAAAACAAGTCATGAATGGGTAATTGCACTGAAATTATGACCTCTTCTGCCTTCCATAGGTTGATGTCCTTATGCTATATCAACAAAGGCTTTAAGCCTTCCAAAACTAGCAATGGCCTTTATACCCCTTCTGTGCAAACTGTAGCATGGTAGCAACAATATATCCTTGAGGTCACCTTTATGCAGGATGTTGATCTTTAGTAAAGATTTTGTAAATACTTGTTAAAGTGAAATTTGTTTTAAGTATTTAAAAACATTAAATAAGTTTGCTTGTAAAGGACAAACTATGAAAATAACAGAAATGTACTTATTCTGCAGACACAGGCAGGTTTGCTGTGGAAGTTTTTTTGTCTGCTTCAGGGCTGCAGAACTTGCCTCTGAACTCTGTGTGTGTGTCTGTGTGTGGTTATGATGTATTCCTAGAAAGAGGAATTCTACTTGTTCTGATGAGTTCAAGTTTTCACGGTTAAACAACTGTTTGCAAATTGGATTTCTGCTAATAAAAGGGAAGAGTTAAGGCAAGAGATTTTTTCTTTGTGAGATATGACATTGGAATATCAGGTGTGTGTTCTTGTATGGTTATATTTTGTGTGGTTTTAATTTAATAAATACAAAAATATTGATGTGTCTGTTCATAATGAATTCAGCTTGGTTCTAGTCTGGTGTTTGTGAAGAATGGTTTGTCTAGTTACACAAGCTATTAGATGCTAATTTCAGCGCAAATAATGTCCTTTACCATATAGTTCACCCTCCTAAATGAGTTCTAATTGAGCAGTCAAGAAAAATGTGTTAACATGGATGAGAGCTGTGCTGGTTGCCTTCACTGTGCTGAGAAGAGATGCCAGTACTCAGGTCTGCAGGGGGACCCCACCTGAAGCTCAGGAAGGCAGAGTGCAGACTGCATTCACTCTTTGCCCTGAAGTTAATGGATGAGCAAATTCTTGTTAAGCATCCTACAATTTTTCCTCAAGTATTCAATAAGCTTCACAAAACTTGTCAGTAAAGAATTTCCGGATCCCCACTGTGACAGATGCTGTTCCCTATATATTGACTCATTTATATAGTTTATTGCTCCCTCAAAGCAAAAACTTTCTGCAATATGTTAAGATGGAAGCAATATAGAAAGTTACATTAATTTACTAAAACTAGAAACAAATCCACAAAGCCAGACAGGGATTGGTATTTCCCTAGAGCTTGCAGGAACTCAGATGTGTTAGGTTCGTTCAGATCATCTCTAGCTCTGGTCCTAAAGAGATCTTCAGTGGCACACAAAATATATTTAGAAACTGCTTGACTGTGCCCCTGCAAGTTTCTCACACCCCTCCATTGGCGTGAGGTCCTGCGTCCCCGCGCCGCTGCCACGCGGCCAGGCTGCAGCCCTGGGCACACACACACCTCCCGGCCAGCACCTGATGGACCTCACGTCTGCTCAGCCCCGAGGAGAACGGAGCAGACGAGAGAAGGGTGCCTGGAAGTAGTCCATCTGTAATATAGTCAGAGTCATTCAAGGTGGAGTTTTCCTATTCTGTAAAAAAGGGGTTCTTAAGACTCTGAAATGACTAATATTTTAGTATCTCAATCCACATTGTCATATTATTACTCAATAAAATGACTGGGTTTCCTGAACACTTTATATATTATTTATACATTATCCTGTATATTTTGCTTCTTACTCTGCCTTTATTCTTTGTACGCTTGTAACTTCATTCTTTGTTTCTATATTTCTGCCACAAGGTGTGGTTTAGGGTTGGAATGGGGCAATTTCAGGCAGAAGTGAAAAGCACACAGTGCAGGTAAAATTCCATGTTTTGCGCCTATTCTGCGGGAGGGAAACCTGCAGGGTTTTTTTACATATTTCTTCAGTCAAAGCTTAAAAAGTCAAAACCGGGGCAGGTTTGGACTAGGTTGTTTTTAAATGAAATGTGGGACATAGCTGATAACAAGTTTTTGTTTGCAATGTGTCTGGAGGCTACTTAACCCCTGTCTGTCCCTCTAACTCAGCCGTCGGGTGCTGCAGCTGCCATTCCTGGTGCAGGGCATCCCCCTTCCCGCAGGCATCGCGCCCGGCTCCTATTGCTCCGTGCGGCGGGACGGCCTCAACGCGCTGGGCAGCGGAGAGAAAGGATGCATTCTCTTAAACACACAAAAGCAGCCTTTTACTACTGTAGCTTGTAGTAAAGTGTTTAATAAAGTACAGTACCAGAAACAAGAGTCTAATAGAAAAGCTCAAAAGGTGAATACCGTATCTGTTGTATTAGTTATATTTTCAGTGATGGTTTAGGGAGTGAAGGATTTCTGGAGGATCCAGCAGAGATACAAACAACACAGAAACTGATTTTTGTCAGTTTAGAACCAGAGATGTGCAGGTGCTGAAAATACCTTTCTCACCAGGAAAAAGGAAAGCACTGACAGAATGTGATTCACTAATTACGTACTAAACACACAAGCAGCAGATGTCCAGTGCTCATGTGCTTCAAATGTTCCCTTCAAAAGGAGGACTGATCTGTGGTGCAGGCTGAAACTGGCATCACTCCATTTTATTTTATTTAGCATAAATTGTAGAGTGTTAGAAAGGCAGGGTGATTCATCAGGCTGGCTGTGTTGTACTGCCTAGTTCTGAAAGGTGTGATTTGCCGATAGCTGCTCATTTGATGTCCCGGCAATGAAACCAGTACTTGAAGCATTCAAATAACAAGTTTAATGGGCTTGGGCAGGACGGGAAGTGAATCTAGTCTGAAGAATGTAGCTGAGGTGATGGCTCACCTGTCTGTCAGAGGGCTTGCTCTGTTCTCAGCGACTCATCAGGTTGGTCTAATTGGGCTACGTGTGTACCCCAGGTGGTGTGCAGCAGCAGGGCAACCACAGAACAGGTCTGAGAACATGCATTCTCTGAACTACAATCAGGGCATACGCGGTGTTTGGACTTCTTTTTTCTTTTCTTTCTAAATTATGTCATCTATCCTTTGTTCAAGTTAACAAATTTGCAAAACTGAGAGGTTAAAAAATACTGCACTAGCCTTTTTGTGGACACAAACTCTTCATAATCACCGGTTGCTAGTTGATGACATCTTCCTGTAGGACTCCTGCACAGACTCCTGAGAGGCCACAGTATGAACCTAACTTCCAATGAAAATGAAAAATATTATTATATTACTCATTATATTGGCAGGAGAAGAAAGTCTGATGGCTTTTTAAAGCAGCCATTGAGGAATGAAAGGTTGATCACTACCACTTCCCCCACTGTAAAGGTCTATGGTTAGTTATCTTTTTCCTGGTTTTTTTCATAAATGCAAAAGTCCACTTTTCCAGTGTGATAATCACATAAGAAACTAAGTCACAAGCTGTTGCAGAACACAACTTAGATCTCCAGGGACAAGAAGAAATTCTGTTTTTTTGGGAGCATTAGATAACAATAATAATAATAATAAATATTTTTATAATAATAAAAAATATGGGAGGGCTTAGATGAGAACAAATATACTGATTCAAAATGACAGGAATTCTGCAGTGTTTCTAAGGGCCTATTTTTCAAGCAGGAAGGTTACATTGACTACCCTTCTGGATACAGTTTTTATTTTTAAAAATAAACACCACCATTAGTGACTGATACTGCAACTCAATGATCCATATCAGGATGTGTATGAGCAGGCAGTGATGTACTCTTTGTATGCTAGAAAGCATTTATTGGCTTATGTCTCAACAGTTTTCAAATAGATATGCTGTTACACCCCATTGCTATCACATTCATTTAATATTTGTTACCAAACAAGTTCTGTTAATAATGTCCAGCGGATAATTTATGTTTTGCAAGGATTCTAAAGTTTACTTTGGTTGGTTAAGAAATGTTGCTCAAATCTCCTCTTCTTTAATCTCCAGCTGTGCTGAGAAAACGAGGACGGAAATGATCAGCCCATTTAACATTTACAGAACTTTGTGCTATGAGTCAGCATCTCCCTTCACTGGCCGGCAGATAACGACCTCTGCATCAGCCAACGTTTTTTGACTGTATTAATCTCAGAATTATCATGCATTTAAAAAAACAATCAGAGCAGGGATAACCTCAATTCTCAATGACGAACCTATAACTAAAGAGAACAGGGCTTTCCTGGGGTTCATTTAGACAAATGACTGCTGCAGGAGATAAATCTCAGATTTACATCTTCGTGAACTCAGTTTAAAATTTACCTGTCTAAAAACTTCCTTACCTTTGATCTTGCCTCATGAGTTCTTCATACATAAAATTTTTCATTCACTTAAATGAAAAAATCTCATAAACCATTCTTCAAAAACTCTTTGAGGAAGACAAGTGAGGGTGACATTTTGTTTTCTTTTTTCATTCTTTAGGAAGTACCAAATTCTTGGCTAATGATAGCATATATATGCCCAAAAAATAGTTTTCCAAAATAATACTGACAGAAACAGACCAGAAGTCAGCAAACACACCACAGCCTTGATATTCAGAGATGCTGAGATACGATAAGTTAAGTTAAACCTTTCTGAAAAGCAGGGCCCTTGTTCCTAGAAACATCTCTAGTTGCAAAAGCCAAATGACTTGAATTGTTTTCCCTTTTTTTTTTTCTTTTCTTTAAAGAAAGTAATGGCTATTTACACTTGTTATCAAGCTACTCGCATCAGGAATTCAACTAATTATGCATGCACAATCATCAAATGGTGCACCAAGAGAATGTTTATACTTGCTGAATGAAGCAACAATGGGGAGAATATAGCTCTGTGATGTGAAAGGCAGTTGCAGTGCCAAAGATGGATCAGTTGCTAAGGACACTATAGCCCAAGGTATAGAATACTACATAAAGAAATAAAAAGGGTCAAGAAAAAAAAAAGTATTAGGATTTAAAAACAAGATTTCTAGATATAAAATCATATTAAGATTAATGAATAATGGGTAAATTATTTTCAAATGTTTTATTCAGAGAACTATGAACTATTTTCTAATAATGCCCTTTACATTGTTGCATCTATAGAAAGCTAGTGGAGTGACAGCAAAAAGATGTAGCATTAAAAGAACTTTCCATCAGAAACGGTTGGTTTATCTACAATATTAAACCCAACATAAATAATAAATCAAAGAGAACATTACATAAACATTCACCCTATCAAATGGAAATTTGGAATCAGAATTTGGAGCTTCGGGTTGATTTGTGAGTGTAGGAAAATGCAGTATATGCAGTCAGTGTACAGAGCACTACAGCTCTTCGTTTCTGTCTAGAAAGTTGTCAGTACAATGTAAACAGAGCATTTCTAATGGTATCCTCAAATTAAGAGATCATAAGTCATTGAGCCGGGAGTGGGGGAAGCTATACTAGTTTTCTACAGGTCTGGCAGCCACTAGCTTTTTACAGGCTGCCATATATGCGTTTAATTACATCAGCCTCTTCCTTGTCCAGGATGCCCTTGTCCACGTAAGCATCAGCTTGCTGATCAATGAAATCTCTCAGCTTTGAAAGATCATAGTCTGAAAAATAAAAATTCATTTGCACAATGAGTCATTGCCATTCTACTGCTTCACCTAAGAAACAATGTCATTGTAAAGTTTATCCAATATGAGAATTCACTACAAGTGCAACTTGTGAAAACAATTTAAAAAACCAAAACACCTGCACAAAGTCTTTTTACACATCATGGTACTTTTAGTATTCAAAAGAAATAATAATCTCTTGCTTTTGATTGATTGCTAGCAAATGCTAAAGTAAGAATATTTTCTGGTCCAGAGATATGATGTTCTAGTCTGCATGGCAAAAGCTGTCATTAAACCCCTATTATCTTCCCAATGGTCATGGATTCAAAAGAAAGTACTAAACTGACTGTTTCCTATTGAAATCCCAGTAAAATGCCCACTTACTACAAACACCTGTAGTGAAAACTCAAGGAAGCAACTTCCTGAAAATAAATCAAAATAAGTATTTACCTTGATACAGAACATAATATCCTGACATGAAAAATACTGCAGTCTTTATGAGAGTGTTAGTGTCAAAGTAATCCTTGACAATCTCTGAGTGTCAATCTGCAACACCGTGCTGAAAGACCCTTTCTCCTTTGCCTATAGATGCTTCCATCTATGCAGCATCATTCGCACTGTATGCGTTCAGTAGACTTTTCCTATGCTGGAAGACATCACTGTTTTCCATGAAAATAATTCCACTTTCAAACAATATAAAAAGGTAACCTATTGGGTAGTCGTAACTCTGCAATAGATCCAGTATATTCACACAAAAATGCAATACAAGTTTCAGTTACATAATTTACAGCATAAAATATAAAGCTTCATTCGTTAGAATCACAAGTTAGTACTTTGGAAAACATCAATGTCTTCAGGGTTCATATTAAGCTAAATGAATTAATATCTTTCACAAAACCAGACACATCCTGAATTTTTCAGTGTAAGTTACTCCACAGACAGAACCTTCAGAATATATTAGTACTGATTTTGTAATGTACTTCAATGTATGTCACCATACAGCAAGAAGTGCAAGGATCTTCTTTCTAACTGTGCTTTCTGCCATGGTTGAGTGACCAAAATTGGATAGAAACAGAAAGACATTAAGAAGTAAACTAATGCGTGCAATCATTTTTATAACGGCATAAGGCAATTTCAAGTGAGTAATACAGGAAATTGATATTCAAAATGCCCCACTCCTGCCAGGGTGTCCTCTCTATATCTGAGTTAATAGGAATTTTTCTATTTGCTGTACTGAAGCCAGGATTTCACGTCTGGTCTGGTACCAGCATTACTTATGAGAATGTAACCTGTTTGTCTCCCCATCCTATCTGCGTAATAGGGACAAATAGCACCCAGCAATTTAATAATAAGGTTGTGAGATTTCATCCGTGTTGCGGAATGAGTCTCTCCAGTGAAATACACCATAGAATGGAAATGAATGGAAGAAAAAACACTAAATTAATATAATATCCATTTTATTCACATCAAAATTCCTGAGCTTATTTTCCTTCTAGAATAGTAAGCATTTACAGCTCTAAGACCATTTCATGGAGACGTGAAGGTTTAATTACTAAACATTCTGTATGAGATTACAACTATTATGATATTATCCAGTTCTGGATAATTTGTATATCTCATGGCAATTTAATTTGATTTTTTTTTTCTAGAAATTTATAAGTGTTAATTTCTAATACTTATTTACGATCTATTAATTTGGACAAGTAATTAGAAAAATCAGCTTTGGTTTACATTCACCACAACAGCTGCAGCATTACATTGAGCTTTGAAATTGCTACAGTAAATGAAGTGAGGTCTTATTTGCATATTCAAATAAAGCCATTTGCCATTGCAATTAATTATAGAATTTACTTTCATTCCTAAGCAGCTACTGTTAGTGTTATGAAACTATAAACTACCTAAGTATTTTGTGAAAAATCTGCAGTTGCTATCTGTGTGCATTATTTAAATGACTCACAGTTACGTTCTCTGGAGACTAACTAGAATAGAACACCCAGCCCGTACCCAGCAGCCGGCGGCTACTGGTGGGAGTGATGCTAATTTACACTGGGGAGGAGCTGGTCTTAAAGAGCATTGGTTTCCAAGATCAAGCCAGGTCTGGGAGATACTAAGGACATGTCCACAGAGCCTATAGATAGTATGTAAGCAGAACAAACTTTGGAGACAAAATCTAGTCAGGCCATAATCTTGACTCTTGATATGTTTCTCTTTAAGTCATCCAACCACTCAAATTTATTTGCCTCCTTAATAGGCAATTGATATTTTTAAATTGGGAAAATGCAAATTAACACTTCCAGGGTCATTAGGCATTGAATGAATAATAATTTCTACTGAAATTCATACAAAGTTAAGGATCTACAAACATATGCCTGAAGAAAACCTAAATCTTTTCAAGTACATTCAATGAGTAAAACAATCCATGAATAGGGGTAGAAAAGACTGGCCATTTTATTCCACAAATTACTTTGTGAATCACTTTTCCACTAGCTCCCAGGTGGAAGTGGAGAAATGATTGATGAGCCCATCAATACCACCTCATCTTCTACTGAAGAAGCACAGCGCAATGCATTCACGGTTAGATAAGCCTACCCTGACTGCACTTCCTTAACATCATCCCGGGAGAACTGAATTAGCATTTTACAAAAATAAAAAGTATGGAAAGGCACAATAAAGATAATGTATCAGAAGAGTAAGAACACTATTCTAATTTTGTCATAACTTACACTCACTTTAAGGCGTATTTCCATTGCCAGAGGACAATAAAGATATTTTAGTGCAAAGGAAAATCCATCTGCACAGCACGTGTACATCTTAATGCATTCACAGGCAGATAAAATGCTATTGATCTGCAGTCACAGCCATTTCCAGACTGCAGCAGCGCAGACGAAAGGTTATTATGAGGAGGAATGAGGGGCTGCCCAGTCGCTATGTGCGATACACAGAAATGATCATACACGGCTGAGATCTAATTACTCTAATGAGTACATTGATAAACAGAAACATTTATTAGAACTGGCAAGAAAACTCTTGAGCAAATGTGTCTGTCGCTAATTGCCATCACTGCCATTCTGTGGAAATGATTTTAAGAGGGCAAAAAAGAAAGAAAAAGAAAAAAGTCCTTCCTATTACAGTGTTTGTATCTAGGAAAAGGAATATGTTGTGCTGTAGGCATGCGCTCATCTCTGGAACGTAATTCATATACAGTTCAGCTCACAGAGAGGGTGGTGGGATTGCCCAGGGCTAATCTCATCTCAGATCCCTTCTGCTTGGCTGGTGCAAGAAGGATCCTTCTCACCAGGCGCCAGTCATGGCCCAGGGATAGATCCCTTGGCTAGGAACCTTCACTCACAGGGTGGGTGACGGCAGAAGACCCAGCAATGGCAGGGAGAAGGGACAGAAGGCTGGTTTTATGTTAGATCTTGAGGGCAAACATGATAAAGATCTGTGAAATCCTGTTGCTGTTAGCTCGCTCCCTCCAGCTCTCACACAGCCCTGCCTGCGAGGAAGAGTCCGATGGCTGGGCAGCTGGTGAGCACACCCTGTGCAGCTGCTTCAGTCACCACTCCCCTTCTACACAGCTCTGGTAATATAGGCTGTAATCCCATATATTCCAGTGCTAGTGATGTAAATTTGTATCTTAACTGTTTATGGTTGAGAAACAAAACCTATTGCCATTTGTGATGGCCTGCACAGTGCTAGCCAGATGCACTCAGCTTTTTTAGACGCATCCAGACATTTAAAATGTATGTCCAGACATCTACCTCATGTATAAAATCATAATTAAAAGATATGTTGAACTAAGAAATGCTACCTGGTGACAGGCACAGCACCGTGACTAAATGGCAGCACAGGACTAACTTCTTGCTGGTTAGTCACTGTAGTTTGTGGCCAACAGCTGTTTGAGCCACTTCACATGAATTTGCCTTAGTTTACTTTTTTCATTAATTGATTTAACTTTCACATCACCTGTATTTTTTAACTCTAACATCACTAATTATCACTATAATCCAGACAAGCTCAGTTTCACATGGCTATTATTTAACTTATAACATAAAGCTAAGTTACACAACACAATTTAAATTACATGCTTTGTAATGTATATGGTGCCCATCCCAATGTCAAGGCTTTTTACTTCATACCTTCTTTGTTACCTTGTTTGTTGTGTTTTTTTAGCCATTCTATGTTCTTCCTGATTGCTTCCAAATATGCCTCAGCTTTTCCTAGAGGAAAGGATGAGAAAGAAATCAGGCATGTACACCAATGACTGATGCAGCTTGCTTAACTGAGTGAAGTTGGTCACGGCGAAGGCAGATTAAAACTATTCTTAGTTTCTGTTTAAAACCTGAGTCCTGTCAACCTTAGTCAGGCAAAATTCCCACAGATGGCTGCAGGTTTTTTCTGTGCAAGATTAGACACCCACAAACTTAAGATCATGGCTTTTTTGAGCTTTCTACATAACTTTTGGTAGTATCCACAGATACTGCATATGTGGATTAAAGGCAATCTGTAGCTTTTTGATCACAGTAATTGTTCATCAGAGATGAAGCTGTTAAGACAGCATGGAATGACTTAAAAAGACTGAGAGCTTTGAGTATCTCATATACAAAGTGTCAGAAAACTCCTCCGTTCAGTAGTACTAACAGCATACAGCAAATCTAAGATTGTGTTATTTTGGAAAGACAGCTGAAATACAGCTACTTACATTTACTGAGAAAAAGGATGTATTAAAATTACCACGATAACTCCTTGTTATAACTGAAAATTTAAAATGATGGCTATTTTTGGACCAGAAAGCACACAGACAGAATTAGTTCAAGGATTACCTAATAAGGCCCCTAAGGAAATATTCCAGCTAATGGATTTTGAATTCTTAACTTGGCTGGAGTTTTATTGATGTAATGTTCTTACATTTGTCAAGAAAAAAAACCCTAGTGTGATTAGCATGTATAAGGCTGCTACTGCCAACTCTGCATGTCTGGTCCCATTAGTGAGTGGATACGGTATTAGATATACTGTAATTTTGGAGCTGGGAGTGCGGAGTTAGCTTTAGATACTCTACGAAAGAGCAAAGGACATTGCATGATGAGACAAAGAACTACATACTGATCCAATTTAAATTTCTAAAAAGCTATCGGGCTGAATATTTTTCTAAAGGTAAAGGAAAATAACCCAATCCAAATTGAACATGCAGATCTTCAACAGACAGGCAAAACATGTTATTTACCACCTCCCATGGGTATTGAGATTATTTTTCTTTACTGTGAAATTAGACACCCATCTTGAGCTATTTTCCCTTCTATGCTCAAATAACCACCACTGGAAAAAAAATGCCACCTTCTATCTGTGAGTGGCTAATAGTTTATACATTGCACAGGACTGAACTAGACAATCAACTGTAGCCTCAATTACTGCAATTCACTACCAAGCATTTTGCAGTAAAAACACATGCATCCAAAAACATACGAGCATAAACCAGCATCAGTGCAAAATAGATTATAAGCATTTTTTTTAAATCAGCCAACTACAAAACGTAGACGCTTACGCTGGATCCTTAGCAATAAGAACCCACTGAAAGTTTTCTGCTTCAGCAAACATCCTCCTTCAAAAGTTCAGCATTCATTACCCAACAAATCTCCTCTCTATACATCACTTCCTAAGAAAAAGTCCATCGAGTCTAGTCAATAAATTGCAGATGAAGGAGTTTTTTGTGTGCAGGAGGGAGAACTTACTCTGGAGATGCAGCTATACTATGAAAGCCTATCAAAGAACATGGCTGAGCCTGAAGTACTGTACTGTAAACTGTCACTTGCCAAACTAACCTCTCCAACTTTCCCCTCAGTAAGTTTGTCATCCACACACAAACCTAGAATGAACACTCTCTTGTCTTTTAAGTTTATGCAGCAACCACTTCTAAAATTTATTTCTAGTACAAGCTGAGAGAGACAAAAAGTTGTATTTAAATATTTAAGAGCTGTGCTGAACACCACAGAAAAGCTTGGTTATACAAGATTAGCTAAAACTACAGCAGTGCTTGTCTTTGGTCTTGGGGACACAGGCTCTGCAGATTTGGTATGGCAAAATTTTGAGATGTAGCAGCCGACTTGCCCCCCATGGACAGAGTGACTTCAGCCAGTGTGATAATAAAAGTACTAGTGTGCTACGTTTGCTTATTGAGCCACTAGCTTACTATAATAGGTTTTCAAAGTTTTGTAAAAGAGGCTAATTGATGATGACCCTTAAACTCTGGCAGTGAGTAATGCAAATTGTTTCACTTCACAGAACTTTTCAGTACCTTTCAGTACCAGTCTGTTCTAACACAAATGAGAGAAATCAATGGGCTCACTCAGAATTCTGAATATCCTGATGATCTGATTTCACTGAAAAGTCACAGATGCAAAGAAGCAAAATCTCTCTGCGCTACTGTGTCAAAATGCATTTCATATTGCCCTCAAAAAGAGATATGAATTCTGTGAAAGTTTATGGCCTTACTGAGCATGGGATATAGTTTCATATATTTAGAAGCAGACAAATGAGTACACTCCCAAATCAAGCTGTTGTGTGCTGACTCCCAGTAACCATAAACAGAAGATATTTACGCTAACACAAGGGAAAAACAATACCCAAAGATAGAAGAAGATTTCAATCACTTGGAGTGTACATATGTAGCAAAAGCAATAGCTATTTTGTACCTCTGGGCTCTTCACTGTTCCCTGCTGCATTCTGGTCTTCATTTTTTGTAGAATCCTTTGAGATTTCATATTCCTTTTCCATTTTAGCTGCTTCTTCCTTTGTACTGTCTGCTTCTTCACTACTCTTGTCTAAAGAAAAAACAGTTGGAAGAATTTTGTATCAAATGTACCAAAACCACTTCCAAATCACATCAATACGATCCTTAGGAAGTACAACATTTTGATGGATGATTGAGGAAGAACCTCATTGGAGTCTGGTTCGAATTGGTTTATAAAGGTCGTCTCTACCCCAGACCTCTGGAAATAGGAATGCCTATTTCTGCTCTTACAAACAGTAGCTGAATACAGGTGACTAAAATGCAATAATATGTAGTTCATAAAAGCATATTCCTTTATGAAGAGAAAAATTATAGGAAATTTTCATTCACTAAATCCAAAGTTGACAAATTATTATTTAAGTCTTAAGAAGCATTCATACAGCTTGCTTTTGTATATATATAATGCCCTGACTCCTCCAAAGAAAAGGACAGTGAATATACTTCCCAATGTTTGGACAACTAAGTAAAAATTCCTATCTTGATGTGTGTTTTGACATCCAAGCTGTGGCTAAAGGTCCTTGAGGGACTGTATCTTTAACTAGCAGCCTGGCTTCTAAAGCAATTAGCATGTTTTTAACTGAATAGGTTAAAAAAATGTGGTATTCCAGAAAAGAAAATTGTAGAATAAGTACCTGCTGGTAGCTTCGTTCCGGTTTTAGTGGAAGGGTTCTCAAGCTTTTTCTTTGTCTGCTCAGCTATCGTTGTATCTAAGTTTTCTAGAAATCAAGGCAAAACAAAACCCCAGTTATTCTTCAGCAGACATGATGTAGAATCTATATTATATTCCCCACAACATAGTTTGAATAGTGAATAGAAATTTAAAGGAACAGTTTTCATCCTTGCCTCTGGAGAATTAATGCAGAGCCAACACTAAGAGAACAAACAAATAGGAATATGGAACTGATCAATCTTATTAAAAAAATTAACTACCAAATCATGACAATAGGTGTACCAAATACAGCCAATATTCATAAAGTCAGTAAACGTGTGCATATATATTGTAATTAAGTCATGTAAGTCACAAAATACAGATAGCAGTATCTATGACAGTATATACTCAGTATATAACAGTGTCTATTTGGACTAGATGATCTCCAGAGGTCCCTTCCAACCCCTATCATTCTGTGATCTGTAACAATTTTTTCTGATGAAAGCAATGAAAGGGTTTAATTATCTTCACAAAGTATACAAGACTATGAAATATGTGCTTCATCCTGGTGGCAAAATATTATCCCAAAGTGCTCATCTGTCTGGATTTTATATGGTTTCATTGGAAAAGAAATCTAATAAAAGGTTTTAAATTATATTTAGATGAAATAAATATGTAAATTGAACTGATTAAAACAAATATTTTTTAAAGTTGCTGAAGTCAAGCATTTACCTAAAAACCCAGTAGGCAGCCATGGCCCTGTATACAGCTCTAAAAGTCTAGAAAATGTTTTTCTATGCAAATTTCAGGGCTGAACTCATCTAATTTGAAAGTAAAAGCACCTTTTCATCAAGAGGACATTTCAGATACAAACATTATAAACTTATGTGGGGAAAAAAAAAGTCCTTTTAATACAACACTTAATAGATATCACAAATCATCATAAAATCTGCCATTTTTCTTCACTAACATAATGGACATGGTGTAGAAATTTCTTTCCCTTTATTAGCATTTTTTAAAGGTTCAGTTAAACACAGATCCAACATTTGACAGATGTCAGCTATTGGCGGGGTATTTCTGAGCGACTTCATTTTGAATTGTCAATATTCCCTTTATATAAACAGTTAAAATATTCAGTATGAGATGTGGTAACTGTGGCAGAACAGATATTATAGGGCTAGTAAATATTTTAGATCCTATCTTCTGTGTAAGGCTCACATTTTACCCATCAGCCGAGGAGCATCTTTTTTTCCATTGGAAAGATACTCAGCACTGAAACCTAAAGATTAGTTTTTAGCAAGCACATTTCTCATCATGGCAGATCACCATAAGCAATTCTGCCTGCCATCTGATGAGAAATCACATAATCCTGTCTGCCTGAGTCCTCTATATTTTGTGATTTACATAAAATTAAAATTTAAGGAGTCTTTGCTGGCACCCTGCCTGACTGCACCCTGTGAATTCTATATCACATTAGGGTTTTTTTTTAATGAAAACTATTTTCATTTGGTACATATCCTTTTAATGTGATTTCTGACCTTGCCATATACCCTAAACTAAACTGGTCTAGCCTGGGTTACAAGCTGGATCAGACATACTGAAGAAAAAACAAGCTAGAATTACAGTGGTGGTATTGATGCCTCACTAATCACTTGATCCAAAGCTTATTGAAAGGACTGTAAAAATTCCTTTCAGCTGAGCTTAAGATACTATTTTTTTATCCTGAATCAGTATCATACTAGTATTCCAGCACGAATATAAGGATTTCTCTGTTGCAAGAGACACAGTTTTTAGGATAAGATTAAACAGCTAAGAACCAAAAAAAATTTGTAAGTTCTAGTGAATAAATTCTTCTCATTCACTAATTCATCCAAATGCAAAAATGTCGCTGACTTTAGACCTTAACCCAGAAAAACCTATTAAATTAGGCTTATTTTTAAGTGTAAACATACTATTTAAAAACAAATAGGAGTATTTAAATGTTCAAAATACCACATGTATATAAGTGCATTGATTCATAAGCGCATATTGATAGTATTATTAAACAAAACAAAATTTAAAAATTATAGTATTATTTTTTAAATGTTTTTGTTATGCTGCTAGACTGTAGTGTTAAAAAAGTTGTACATGTATCCACATACAGCATGTGCCACTGAAGGCGATAGGATTTGTACTCCTCCATTATTCAGTTACTTCTATAAATCCCATCAGGAATTCTACAGTTTCTCTGAGTCTTTTGATTTGGCTAACAATTTCATTTGAGGTCAATGGCAACATACATTGTAACATGGTAATAGTCATTGTTTTCCAGCCACATGCATTAAACCTCTACATCTCTATATGAAGTATAATACAGCACTGCTGACCACTAATAATCCAAGCTCTGGCACTAAAGCCAGACTGAATGTGGTAACAAGTATATTCCATTTTCAAAGATTTATTTTGTCAGTAAAGTTATGGACAAGTTTATATGACAGACCTTTTAATAAGGAATACATTTTACGGGAGAAATATTGAAGCTCTCTTGCTAGCTGGATGGCACATCAACATAAATCTCAGGATTTCATAAGCAGCTGTATTTTCCGCGTGACAGAGTTAACTATGTGAGCCTGTTCATGTTTATGGCGATCATCTGGTGTACCTACATATATATTGTAGAGAGAACATTACCAAAGAATCCCAATTATTCTTGAACAGGATTTATTGCCCCTCTTTTTCCCCTTCAGAATTGTCTTTAACAGCTGGTATTGTTTCAAAACATGTTTGTACTTGCCATATGTGGCTAGGCCAGGGCTGAACAATGTTTGCTCTGAGTTACACTGATGGAGTGAGTCATCTTCTCAACCGAGATGTGCCTGGCCAGCAGCTAAGCAACTGCATGTCGTATCTGGAAGTCTAACAAGAATTGATTACCTTTCCGGTATCGTTTCCTTAGCAACATAATTTTTACAGAGGAAGAGTTCAGAAAGGTACTGACCTTTCCACAGAGATGGCCACTTACTTGAAATGGCACTAATTAAAACAACAGAACAATAACTACTGAGCTAATGGAAGTGACCTACGTTGGTAAAATAGGTCACTCCTCTGGCGGCCGGCTTTCCGCTGAGCAGCATAATCTCATCTCTTGAGCCAGACACCAGGAGTCAGAAGATCTGGTTTCTGCCCTGCCTCACTTTCTAACTTGCTTTTGAACCCAGCTGACTCGCTGAAGCACTCATGCTGCAGGGGACTCTGATTTTGAGCAGGCATTCATTCTCAGATGTTCTAGGCCCAGTTTCTACAGGCGCTACACACTGATAGATCCTATTAATTGCATCTGAAAATGCAAATTCCCAGCACTTCTGAAATTCTGGCATCTTTTGAGTTGGCCATTCAAAAATCTGAGTCGCATAAAAGCAGAATGCTTATCTTTCCTCTGGGAGAATGCATTGTGGTAACATCCTTTAAATTCATGGGAAAAGATACTATGTGAAAAAATATTACAAATTAAAATACTTTGTTCTTATTAGAGAGGCAGAAACTAAGGTACCCATCCAAGTATTTAACAGAATTGGTAATGGAAGCCTGAAATAGACCCTTCTCTAAAGACAGACAGATTCGTGGTGTTTTCCAGCCTCTTGCAAATTTCGCTGTACGGGGTTTTTTCATCTGCATAATTGTCTTGCACCCGGGAGGCAGTTTCACATTCTATCCTCATCAAATTGACTGAAGCTGAGATTTCATGTCATTAAACTTCTGCAGAAAGACCTGCTTTGCTGTTCTATTTTCATACAGCATAGAAAGGCTGTGTTTATTAAAGGAGAAAAAGGGATGATCATGGTACCTGAAATCAATCTTAATGATAGCAAAAAAATGAGTTTACTTAATGAGTCCATACATTACAGCAGCTTCAGCCAGAAAGCTTTGTGCTGATGACTGCTTGTATGAGATGGATATATTTTAGGCCTTAAAAAAGCACAGTTCTCCCAGTGCTCTTCCGCCTCCTTAAAAATTTGTAAGGCCTTTTTCCATATGTGACAAAACTCGGGACACCCCAGCATTTGCTTGTGACTATTCTGTGGGGAACAGTGTACCTGATTAATTCTTTGGCGCAATTCTCCTTTTAGCTTACATGAGTGCAGGTCCAAGAACTGTCAATATCCACTGGATTTTCACCAATGCAACCAAAAGCAAAGTTTGACCTTTAGTCAGCTCGTATATGTGTCATGCATATGTCTCATAAACCGCTTAAACTGTGATGAACAAGAGAAATCTCTCCATTGTGGTTATACAGATGGGTCTCAACCTTGCAAATGTCCTGTTTCTTTCCAGCTCCCTGCCTTACATGTCAAGACATGGCACTTCCTTTTTGAATCTTCCAGTTTGACTGATTTGTCATGATGGTGCTGCCACGAGCAGGTGACAAACTCCAGGTAGTGGCATCACTTGTAAATGGATTACAGGCAAGATGGTCAGAGTGATTTGAAATAAAACAGCAGCAGTATCACTTGGCAATCAGATTAAAAGCAATTCAAAAAGCAAACCACAATTAAATTGATGTGTTTTAAGGTGAACAAAGCTCTGACCAAGTCTCCTGTATTGTCCTTATTAAATTCCCTACCTCATGGACTATTTCTCAGATTTATCATTTCAATATTCTACAGACACTTCCTTTGCATTACTCCAGGTCTCCTAGAGCTGTGTGGTGCAGTCCTTTCCTAATGCTTTCCCACCCTGAGGCTGCAACATGGCCTGTGCACATATTTTAAGTATTTGGATAGCATTCACTCTTTAAGCATGACAGTTTGGGACTGAAGCAGCACACAGCCGCCTCTACTGCAGGAGTGGGATGGAGCTTAGTTTTGAAAGTTCAGTGACACCTCTTTACCCCACACCCACATCATCATCTCAAATTCTAACTTACGGTCTCAGTGCTCAGCTGTCAAGAGAAAGACAGTGAATTCAGAAAGTAAGGGGGTTTTATGTAGCTCTTAAATACAGTGAGAAAAAAGTAAAAGAATTGCCCTCCTTTCTTTAGAAACACAAACCACTTGGTAGGATGCAAAACCTAGATCTTCAGGAACCAAG